CCTCCCTCGACCTGCTGGCCACGCTTCTCCCGATGCAGCCCAGGGTAGGGTTGGCCTTCTGGGCTGCCAGCACCCATGGCCAGCTCATGTCCAGCTTTTCATCCACCAGCACCCCCAAGTCCCTCTGGGCAGGGCTGCTCTCCATCCTTAATATTTTCCAAGTGCTTGCAGAGAGTAGTGGGCAGAATGGAGACTTGCTCTCATTATCCCCGCGTTACCCAATGGTCTGAATATGATGAATTCAGGAGCAGAAGTGGTGATATCTGTACTGCCTGTTCTGAAACAAGTACATGTGTTGCTTTGGTAAAGCGGCTGCTTACGGATAGATAAATTGCATGGCACTCTTAGCTGGGGTTAAAGAGTTAGGTGGATTTTAAAATAGCACTGCCCTAGGCGTTGGCGCTGATGATCAGTACAACGTTAAGCTGCAATGTTAATTAGAAGTCAGATATCGTATATAATTGTTGTGAGAAAATTGTGGACTCTATAGTAAAGGACCTGCTAAAGAAAAAAAATGAAATGTTTCCTGAGATATTTAATTAGTTGCATTGAAGAAATTTTTCTGAAACGCTTTTCAGGAAGACTTACATTAAAGAAATTTTCCTAAAATGCTTTTCAGGAAGATTTAAATTTCTTAAAGAGCTGAATATGCTTTTTTGGGGATTTTTTAGAGGTGGCTAGGTTTCCTTCTGAGGATGGTTTCCTTATGGTTTCCTTACTTATAAGGCCCCCAGACTGAACATGTGATAGGTGTGCAGCTCTGAGGGAAGGGTTGGCGATTTGGCATTTCAGTAACATAGCTGGTTTAATGTGACATGCAGAAGTGTCGCTGCCGTCGCCGCAGCTAAGGGCAGCCTGGCAGGGCTCTGGCCAAGCTCCCCCTCAGGCTGATGGAGAAGCACAATCCCCTTACCCTGGCCTTGCTGCTGCCGGTGTCACTGGTTTGGCAAGAGAAGCAAAACCTGACAGCTCATCTTCCAAAGACCCAGCACCAAGGAGAAGCCAAGTTCAAGCTCCTTAATCCCTGGCTTCATCCTGCGTAGGACAGGCTTCCTTCCTTCACGTGTGTCCTGCTTAATCCAGCCGGCCGCAGCGTGGAGGAGACGGCTGTTTTCTGATGCCCAATATGTCAGTGGAAAAGGTGTTTTTTCCTCCAGGTGGGTGCTGAGAAGACATCTCTCCTCAGCCAATTTCCTTCAAATTTGAACTTGATACTTTAACTGAATTAAACGACGTGCTCGGGTTTGTTTTCTGAGGTGCTTTTCCCCCTCTCACTTTCATCTTTAGTTCCCTCTGCGTATCCACGCTGCCTGTGCTCTGCCTGTGGTGGTGGGCAGGCAGGGTGGGAGGCTGAAATTAACCCAAACCATCTCAGCAATACAGACCAGTTTGCAAATAAAATAAATAGAGAAACTCTCCGAGCCTGTGTTTCCTCTACAAGTGCCTAAGGACGTTTCTAATCAGAAGTGTGATAAAATGGAGAGTCCTTCATGCTTAGCAGAATAGTTAGTTTTTCCCAATCCTTTCTGCTCCCTAAATCTCATCAGCTAATAATAATAATAATAATAATGAGTAACTAGAAATTCAACCCTTAATTTAAGAGCCCTGAAAGGGCCCTGTCTGTGGGATAGCACGGAGCACTGCTCACAGAAACCAGGATTTCTTTGAAGCTGCCTTAAATTGGAGGCTGAAAGCAGAATGCAGGCATGGGATCTCTTTCTCAGGGCTCTGAGAGCTGCTGGCTCGATTGTAGCAGGAGTTAGTTGATACCTGGTGACACCAGATGAAGCCTGTGGCTTTCACAAGGCAAAGCAAGCCATTTGGGGGAGTTTTTGTGGATTTGCAGCGGGTGGTGCTCAGATCTGGGCTCTCGCTGCTGCCCACCCGCTGTATTTGTATAGGGCACGGTGCTGGTCTCGCAGCTTCGCTTCAGCTTTCCCCTTCCTCTTGGGGTTTGTGACCTGTGCTGTGGGGCTCCCAGCTCAGGAGGAACATCACCAGCCAGCTCCATCCTCCCACGTGTCCCCATCGCGGCAGTGTCCCTGCAGGCACTGACCAGCTGCTGGACCCCGAGGCTGCCTGTCTGCCTGCTCTTCCCCACCATCCAGCGTGAGAAGCTCCCATCTCAGCTCTGCTCCCTCTTCCTCCGAGAGGCACCTTCTGCTTGCGCTGCCTCTGTCTTCTCCAGCTGTGTTTGCAGCGAGCTGTCACGAAGCCGCGGTACCCGTGGGCTCAGGACTCTCCCTCTGTGCTGTCACATCTTTCTCTGCTCACACCCTGCCGCGGCTGCTGCGTGACACCCATGGGTGACTTCCCCCCCATGCTGGTGAAGACCCCGTCTGCTCCAGCTGGCACAGCCGGGAGCAGGGCGGCTGAGAGCTGTGGGAGGAGAGCTGGGGGTTCCGAATCCTGCTTTGCTGGAGCTGTGACTCCCCTTTTCCTGGGAGAACACAAGAGCATTTGTTTTAAGGGAGTCTGTTTTCAACAGAAGGCATCAGGGAGCAAACCTTGGTGGTGCAGGGTGACAAGGTGAGGTCCAAAGAGGTGCCCTGGGTACGGGCAGGGAATTGAGCATGTTGGAGGCTGGCTGTAGGGCAGTGTTTTCTCTTAATCTCTGCTTCCATGGCATGACCTCCTGACTGCACGGCTTCAAAACCTGCATTGCCGCTTCTGAGCTTAGAATCACAGAATGTTTTGGGTTGGAAGGGACCCCTAGAGGTCACACAGCCCAACCCCCCTGCAGGAGCAGGGACACCTTTAACCAGACCAGGTTGCTCAGAGCCCTGTCCAACCTGGCCTGGAATGTTCCCAGGGATGGGGCCTCCACCACCTCTCTGGGCAACCCCTGCCAGGGTTTCACCACCCTCACTGTAAAGAATTTCTTCCTTAGATCCAGTTTAAATCTACCTTGGTTTAGTTTAAAACCATCCCCCCTTGTCCTGTCACAGCTGGCCCTGCTAAAAAGCTTGTCCCCCCCTTTCCTCT